GTCGAATGAGCGGTTTCTAAAATTTAATACACCTATTTTTACCCAAGGCTTTTGTAAAAGAGGAATGTGTGTATACAATTTTGCCAATGTATACATTTCACAAATTAAAAATTACGATATACACTGTTAATATATTTATATCTGGATTCATAATCTCTCAAGTATATTATATGCTCTAGAGAACTGGCGAATAAAAATTCTCCAAATCATAAACCGGTTTAGGAGAAACAGGAAAATATTAAACCTGCATAAATATTCAGCAAATACCACACCTTGTGCAATATGTTACAAGAAAAATCTCGAAAAGAATGTATCTTAAATTTGCCTTCTCCTGCTTGCCAAATCTCTATTCTCTCCAATTAAAAATAATTAATAATTTGTTAAAATTATGTCAAGAATTTTTCTTAATAAATATTTGACACATAGCATCGTTAACCTTAAACAAGACTAACCTAAAATTATTTTATTTCAGTCTCAAGTGTTATAATTTCAGTTTCTATATTTCTGTCACATCAGGTATAATGATTAGTTTTATAGCGGTGCTTTCCAAAATATTATTCTTTACCAAATAGTAAATAATGTATGCCTCGTTTTCAAGCAATTGTAACGTACCTTTTATATTCTCTCTGTTATTGTATTCCTTATTCTTTCCTTCAAATTTTAAATTTAATTTTTTCAATTTTACTTGATTTAATTATTCGTGATTTATCATCGTTGTAACAACCGTAATTAGGAAACAATCTCGACTTCAGCTTATCAAAAATAATCAGCTTATTAAAAGAATGATAGAAAGAAATGCGGAAACATTGAAATTAATTCTTTGACTTTGACAATGTAATATTAATTGTCACGCGAGAAATTTCTATTAGAAATTTGCAATCGTTGGAATTTCTATGAGATACATGGCGCGAAAATCAACACGTGCGCGATGACGTCAAGTGGAAAAAGTTTCAGTGTTTCTCAATGACGGTAACATATGTTTGCCATCATATTCGCTTTTTTCGCACAACACACGTGTAGCGATGTTACCGGCTATCATTCGCGAATGGACGTGAGCGCGAAGATACGTTCGCGAGGGAAGACAACGATCGACTGAGCGCAGCTCGACGGCGATGATTACAACGTGAGGCAAATCGTGCGAGTTCATTCGTTAAAAAGAGGTCGTATTGATAAATCATAGTCAACATAGCTGCAGCGCGCGACGATTTAAGCGTATCGCGATCAAAACTGATAGATTTTGCTACGAATCTTAGAATCCGAATATTGTCTTGCAGGTGAGCGCTTTCGAATCATTCAACTGCGAGCGTATCTAAAGACATCAGCATAAAAAGTGACAGCTTCAGCAAATAATTGTAAATAATTCTTTCTTTTCGCGCGCGTAAATAACGTGAGTATAACTTTTATGTGACGGCAATCTTTATTTTTTTTTTTTTTTAATTATTACCAGGATAATGTTATTTTTCGCGTTATTCTCCGAGAATTAAATTATATTAATATTATATATACACTAAGAACGCAAATCAGTTCTGGTTGTTATTCTGAACGAACGTTTTATTAGTTATTATATAAATGTACAATAATATACAACTATCCTTAATTTGACTCACGATGCGAACAAACAGATATTATTCTCTCATTTTGTTTTTCGTAACTACAGAGAGAAAAAGAGATCACGTGAAACGAAACAATGAAAATTAATTGTTGGTCACATTCTTGTACCAAAAATAAAAGAAAAAGACGCTGAACTACATTTAATCAGCAAACGTGACATGTACCGCGAAAAAAATGTATCTCGCTAACACGTAACGTTATTGAAGTGGAATGCAATCGATGCATAAGACGGTTAATACCGTTGTAAATAATCGTGTCAAATGTCATAAAAATCGTTCGCGCAATCATGAAAGGTTTCAATTTATTTATAATCATGAGTTAGTTTCATTAAAAATCATAGACATATGTTAATATAAAAAATATGTCTATATAAATTTATATAAAAATGTCAACGTAAAAATTTATATAAATTTATAGGTTTATATAACATATGTCTGTGTATTTAACAAAACTTATACAAAGTGCGAATTTCTGCACTCTGAAAAAAAGAAGGTAGGATCTTTTATCTAAAATTAATATACACGAAATATGCGCGATCCCTTCTTGAGCGTACTTTGCGCGATCAATATTTGTTGTTAATATATATTAACAAAAAATTATTGAACACAGGAGAGAACATCTAAATATGCAAATTAAAATATTAGTCATGAAAACTTTGTCTATATGAGACGTTGTGGTATAAAAAAATATTGTTTTTTACATTATCAATAAATATATAATATGTAAAGGCAATACTGTGACTTGACAATAATTATCGAACATTATTAATATCTTTATGGACAATAAATAATGATCGCCAGAGCACTGCTTCTTGTTCCACAGAAAAAAAGTTGACAGCAAAAAAATAAACAATCAGGCGAATATTATGACAGAATGTGCACATATTTATATTTTTGCATTACATTTTCATATACAACACATATGAGTAGAGAAAACAAGAAACGTATCGACATAAAATACAAAATGCAGTTGCAGATAATGACACGTATATCCACAGGTACATCATCGATTCTTAAATATAAAAGTTGTCAGCTCTTAATGTGGAACAAGATCAGTAACAAAAGTAATATACAAAAATCTTTGATACAGTCTGTAATCGGTAAAAAGGTAGTTTCATCACAGTTTGTGTTGTCTTCCTTCGCCAAAGAGCCATAGACAAGCTCTATCGACGATATACGCAAAGACAAAATCCGCGACTAGTATTTGAACCAGTATCGTACGGAACTGCAACATGCAATGGAGGTATATTTATGATTGACAAAAGACCATAATAGATTAAAACAACAAGCTTAATTGTTTGTTAAACACACACACGAAACTTACATGGCTTGGAAAATCCACAATCTCGAATTGTACTGCTAGATTTGGCAGAAATCCACAAGCCAATAATAGAATGACGGCAGAATTGCCCACAAGACTAAATAAAAGTGCCTTATTTTGTGCCAAACTTTCCATGAATGGGTGACCCTGCCACAATATAAAGTAATTAATATTAGTTGTTAACAGTGTTACCATGTTAAATACATTATTAACCATACAATGAGACATGTAAACAACTTACTCGATAATTTATAGCGAAGGTAGAAACCTGAAGGGACATCGCAATTATATATACAGTGCTGTTAATTAAATTCGCCTCGAAAGGTTCATCCTCACTACTGTCATCTCCACCCAATGAATTGACTTCACTGGAATTATTCAAGATAGCTGCCAACTTGTTGCTCCTATAAAACAAGTAATTTCGAAAACATGTGTGATTATCCCATCAATCATCAATCCTATTTAATTTATACAACTTACTTTGGAGATAGAACAGTGGCCTCTTTTACTAAATAGACGAGACAGATAAAATGTACGGCAAACTGCAGCAATACAGTTGCTATGGTATACAAATTAAAGATATTTGGTAATGGTCTTTGCTGCGATAGAGTTCTCAGGGGTTTCGATCGTGAGATAAAGAGAAAGCAGGCCGCTAAAAGGACACCTTGTAAGGTTGCTTGTGCATCACTAAACTTGATTCCATCCAGATATAACACTGACTGACTATAGGCGAGTATCAGTGCATTCAATGCTAATATTTTGAACATTTGCAGAGTGGTAACCAGAGTGCAACGTCCCTGTTTGATCACGTGGCATACTGTAAACAAATAACTATTTGTCTTTCTGAATAACAAAACAATTTGAAAATATTCTGTGAGTCTTACTGCATTGAATAGATGACATTTTGCTGGTAAAAGGAGCGGCGATGGAAGCGTCGCCGAGTTTTACGATTACGGATTGCTCCTGCACCTCGTTATCAATTTCCTTTAGAATCTTTTGCAGTTTCGCACGAGTATTCGGCGGCGCGACTCTCGGATTGGTCCTTGGCCCGTTGCTTATGGGAGACATTGAGGTATCATTCCTTGAATCTTCCCGTTTGTCAGAAAGTAGCTTTTCGGGCGGACTAGATAGAATTGCCACACCTACCAGAAAAAGAAGAAGAAAAATGATAAACATTATATTAAACTAATTTTTACGGCAAATCTGTTCATCAACTTACCCACTGCAGCATGTTTCAAAGCGCCGACATCGTTCGTTCCGTCACCGCACATCAACGTCGTATAGCCTAAAGATTGCAGCGACACGATAATGAATTCCTTTTGTTTCGGTGCGCATCGCGCGAAAATCACAACATGTGGCAAGAGCTTCCGAAGAAGTTCTCGTTGATTTTCTTTCAGATACGATAAACCCTGAAAGAGACCGCCAATAATAGCGAACGATTGCTACGATCCACAAGCTTGCAAAAATGAATTCTTATTTATCTACACACCTCACCCGTTACACAAAGCGCGTAATCTTTCCAAATTTCTTTGCGTGATTCAATATTTTTTACATTTAGAGGAAGCTGTATTGTTTTATCTATGCTTTCCCACAACCATTCGTCATCATTTTCAATCAATACGAGGGTGTTGGGCTTCTTTGTGAAATGTAGCTCGCGACTTACATGACAGGCCGTTAAGGGATTATCACCAGTTATCATTACGACCTATGTAAATGTGTGTAACACAATTATTTTAACTTAAATATATTTTGAGAAGATATACTTTCTTTCGAAACTCATACATTACATTATGTCTCAACACAATAACTAATGTTTATCAATATTTATCATATACATACCGAATGCGAAGAATTGACGATTTCTTTAATAACGGCTTTCGAGTCAGGCTTAAGAGGACAACTAATGATAACAAATCCCGCAAATGTGAGATTGCTCTCCAATTTTCCACGTGTTAATTCCCTCAAATCTTGAGAGGAAAAGGTACCAGGAAGTTTCCGATATCCCAAAGCGAGCACTCTCGCGCCGCGTCGTGAGAGAGATAAATAAGTTGAATCATAATTTTTCGGCACAGAAGACAACTGAAATGGCAAATTATATTCGTGGCAATATAAAAAAATTGATAAAATTGTACATAATTGAAATTATTATTTCACGAACCATATTCTTTAGAATTTCTGGTGCGCCCTTCACTGTAGCCATATAATGAGTTTCTGAAGCTCCAGGAATATTATATCCAACCACAACACACATTCTTTTCAAAGCCGATGAAAAGTGATATCTCTGTACAATCTTCAACGCCGGAGACCTGCCCTTTTTAGGAATAACAGAATCACCTAAATGGACATTAGCGTGTAATGTAGTATGTCGATATTCTCAATATGTTTATTATATTATCGACGAATCTATATTTACTTTTTGTAAGACTCCAGTTTACTGCTTTAAGAGTAGCCTTTTCTAATGGATCCCCGACGATACCATCATCTAATTGAACAAGAGAATGACACGTAGCCAGTACTTGAATGCTCTCCAAAGGTGCATCCGATAGTTGAATCACATCTGGTTTACCGCTTAGAAAGATAAAAATCACATTTCAGAAAATAACATGAAAGAATTTCGCGAGAATAATAATTATACGCAATTTCTTACTCGATACCCGCAATACCCTCGACAATCATTTTATCGCTGGTGAGTGTGCCAGTTTTGTCAAAACAGCAAATATCAACTTTGCCGGCAAACGGAATTCTGAACGGTTCTGTACAGAATACACCTACAAAAGAATACAAGATTTGTAATGCTAATTACAAAATTAAAAAGTTTTTGGCATTAGAAAAATTTGTCTTAAATACCTAACTTGGATAAAGCTACCAGAGACGTATTTACAGCTAGCGACAATTCTATAGGTAACTCCGGTGGCACAACAGAAGTTAAAATCAACGTGCATTCCAAAAATAGTTTGTACTTATTTCTCGTAGGATCTTCACTGCCTGAAAGTTACGAAAAGTAACTTTGTATTATCCTTATCTCTCTTTTTCTCTCTATTTTAATGCCGAATTCGATACTACCTTTGATCCAGACATACGCGGCGGCGGCAATCGCGAAAATAAGCAGGAATAGAATAAAGCCAAAAGTTTCCAAATTATTGGCTGTAACGCGTTTAACGCCGAACAATATTGTTCTTAAAAGTTTTCCTTGCGATGTAGAAAAGCCAGTCCGTAATACGTAGGCGACGCATCCGTTATCTGTCGCTGCAACATTAATAGCATGTATTAATATCGTGAAGCGAAAACGTTAAATAGAAATGAAATTTATCTAGTTTATAGTAATACCTCGAAGGCCGGGAGTATTTTTAGTAGGAGGTGTATGTTGCACGACTTTTGTACCACCAAAAAGCACATGAAGTTTATCACCTTCGATATCTATAGTTCTACTCCCATCGATATCTTCTATAGGTTCTTTCATTTGAGGAACAGATTCACCTAGACATTTTCGATTGCCGTAAAGCTACAGTAATTTTTCTATATTGAATATAACATTGGATTATTTAAATTATTACCTGTTAACATGCTTTCGTCAACGACACATGGACCTCGCAAAAGCAACATATCGCATGGCACTAAATTATCATGTTGAGGCCTTGTAATAGAAACAATATCTCCAGGAACTAGTTGGTCTGTAAATAATAAACGCCATCGCCTGTTTCTATAGACCTAAAGGAAAGAATGAAAACGTAGATATCTTAAATTCTTAAAAATGTCTGCTATGAGTAATTAAGATAAGGTAATTTGTATTTATATACCATTATCATGTATGGTTTATTGCCCATTTTACGTATCTCGGCCATATTTCTCAGTTGTTGCTGTACCAGTGTACATTCAAACATGATAAGCATGATCAGTGTGAAGATGCTATAGTACCAATATTTGTCTAAGCACCAGAGTGCCACACAGAATACTTGAAAGACGAAGAACGGAGCAATCCCACGTTCCTTAAAGAGTTCCCAGAACTCTGGCACAACCATGTCTAATCTAAAGCAAAAGTAATACTTTCAGTAATGCAAGTGATATCTCGCAAGAAACATATTGATATGAGAGATTTTCGTGCAACGTACTTATTTTTCCCATATTTTTCCTCTGCTGTTTCAACTTCCGCTTGATCAAGATAGCCTTTCCATTCGCAATAATGTTTCACGGAATGATTGATTGGAAACTGCAATCCTCTGAATGATTTTATCTCTGAATCCCAATAGTATTTCGTTTTTTGAAAAATAAACCATGGCTCCTGCTGATCCGTGCGATGCAATGGGATCAGCTCTGAACTTCCATTATTGGGAGTAGGGATTACTTTCACTATTCTTGCTTTGTAAGGATTCTTTTCCTAAAAACATTTTACACAAGATAGAACATTCTAAAATGCATTTGAATTATCGTAGAACATTGAAAATAGGTAAACTTGTACAAAAAAAAAAATATATATATATATATAAATGATGCAATAAATTTCTATGTTTAAAACATATTTCTCACGGTATTCAAATATACCCGCCAAAGTATCACGTGACTGAGCTAGCAGAAGACCGGCTTCAAATGGCTGCCACGTTACAAGAGACATATTGAGGGCCACGAAACAACCACGTGCCCATTATTTAAATAAATTGAACGGCGACTGCCACTTACCGAGCTGCAATTTAAGAACGTGTGAATATGCACGGACCATTGACAGCACAGGCACAAAAAGATCTGCAGCACGCCGATCGCCGCGATGCCAACTAGGCCCGCGTCATAGTACTCGTCGACGCCGTAGACGAAGATCCAGCAGTAGATCCATAAAGACTGTAGCATCACGAACGGCAGAATGTAACCGTTGAACATCCATTTGCGCGGATTATGCAGGCTGACAGACTGCACGAGTTCGTCTACCCGCGACGAGATCGCCGCCATGATTACGCTAACAATTAACGAGTCGTCACAAGAGCGAGGTACGTCCCAACGTCTGACGCACTTTAAGCACCATTCACATTGAAAATCTCTGTGCACACGTTATTAAGCAATTCGTTTAGACGATATCAATGCGAACGCAGGATAATGCGTTTGCATATGGGGAGAAATTGAGTTGAAGAAGAGGCAGGGTTATGTTGGAACTGGTTGGAATGCAGAGAAGCGTACTGACAGCGCGCTATTAGTGCGATATTGGTATCAATGAAGGAATCAGATGGTGCGGGTTATGCGCTTCGAGCGCCATCGTCAACACCGGTGGCGTAGCCTCGAGCTAGAAACGAATATGGCAGCAAGTCCGTCGTGTATTTGAATCCGCATCGTTTACTTTCCAAGATTAAGCCCAATATTAGGTACACGCATAGTACGTAGCTTTGCTTCTATTATGATACGTTTTATTATCCGCACAAATACTATTGATTTATCTCTGATATTTATAGAATACGCATATATATGAGTAATTTAATCTCTCGTGCTTAACGAGGGGTAAATGTCTCCTTAACGTTTAATATTATTATAAAAATAAAAAATATGTATAATTGCTAATTCGAAATATATATTAGCGACATATGTTTACAGATCCATTGCGGTATTTATCGTGCTTTAAATAAAACCGTAACCTTGAAAATGTTAATGTGTGAAATATATATACGGTTATATAATATATATAATTTACTTAGAGTGTGTGCTAAGTGTTCAAAATATCTTGTTCTCACTTACAGTTTGTTTGAATATAGTTTTGCTAGCTTGTTGATTATCAATGAAATTCAAAATCTCTTTTTAACATTTAATATTAGACAAAATAACATTTAAATTTTGAACATTATATTATAATAAATCTCTTCCATCAAAATTTCGCCAAAAGAGCATTTATTTATATTAAAAAAAATTGTAATGGAAGAGACAGAGAAAGAGAAAGATATATCTGCAAAATAATTCTATCAACGATTCATGTTGGCTAAATGTTAAGGTTTAATATATGAGGACATAGCATTTCTCTTTTTTTTCTTTTTTCTTCCTGGTAGACTAGCGGTGTCGCGTAATCAAGATGTATCCGTGTCATCTGGGAGAAAAACTCAGTTCACTCCGTCATAAGGTCGACGAATCCCTCGCGCACGTATCCCAGTGAAAGTATGTGTCCGCCTGAACCCCACCCTGAGCTCCCCGCGGAACTCGTGCATGTCGTCCGAGGAAGGGATCAACAGCAGGTATACCCACGTTGCTAGGTAGACTCGCGGCGCGTAGAATCGAATCCCGCCAGTGTCTGGACCCAACGTGGACACTTTCGAATCACGCTGGCCAAAAGTGGGAAGACGTCCGTTATGGTTGATCACAGTCGGTTTATCATAATCGGTGCGACAGAACTCGGCGTTACAGTCATATAACATAGAAGATATAGAAAATTTAACTTTGAATTGAGAATCCAGCCGTTTTTCGTCTGCTTTCGTTAAAATTTTTCGATTAAAAATCCGCCGATTAAAAAGTTCGATCACGTGGATACGAGCTGCCGTTTATTCGGAAACTCGCAAATATATTATTGAGCGCGATTCGATTTGGTTCTCGGTTATCTATCGTACAACCGATCCTTGCTCCTTTACACGTCTCATCTTCGAGGCTCGTCTTCGATCTTACGTTAGCGTCGCGTTATCGTTTATCAGTAGTGACATTACACGGCGATTGATCAACACGCGATGCCAATTAAGTGACTTTGCGGCCTCCTTTCTGCCTTCCTACCGTGCTCACCACAGGAGAGAAGGTCCTATCACGCAAGGGTGAATCATAGCATAGAGAGAAATGGAGGTCGCGTGGCATCTAATATCAATCGTAAGTGATCGACTCACAATTTAAAAATAATAATTATTGTTTATGAAGTATTCAGAGGAAGCTGGATTTAAATCTGATGTAATGTTCTTTGCATCAATTGCACATACATCTCTCTAATTGTAATTTCCTGATTGCAATGTCTTGACTCACCCATTGATTTATAGTTAATAATTTTTTATCTGTCGATCAAATTACATACAGGCTGAATCGGAGCCGGTTAATATCGTCGCAAAAGAAACGTACGTCTGTATCATGCAGGAAGTATTCTCTTTTTCTCCAATAAATGATTAATTACAAGTCGGTGCATTTCATAAGTGTATGTAGTCTCACGTTGTACAATAGTTAATCTGGTTCTAATAATCTCATCAAGTTCTATCGTGTATTTAACCGTGGGAATTACACTTTCACACGCATTTACGAAATGAATGATGAAATGAATATTTCGTTTAGATTAATAGAAAAGTGTAAGTGTAGATTAGTAGAAAAATGTAAGAAAATTATCATTTTTTTCGGATCTTTCAAAAATCATATTTTTATCAGTTTTATTATAAATTCTGTGTATAGAGGATATTCTACTATAAGTGATCACTCTAGTAATGGTTTCTTTATTATTGATACTATCATATTTGTGTTGTTTATTACTATATATATATACATAATAAAATAAAGAAATTAAATCTCGTCGTTACTTTGCAAGTAATATGAAAAGTGTAAATATTTATGTTATGTCATAAGATACTAAAATTCATTAAATGTTTTATAACTTATTATTAATTTATGAATTTTTTAAAATTATATTTTTTATCACATCGAATATTATGATCAGATGACACGTAAGCTCTAATGCAGAAGTTTGTTTGGTCGTATCGCAGGGCCGTAAATGTAGTCGTACACAAAATTTCATGCCGATAAAAACTTGTATATAATTTATAAAAGAATTCTATAAATCATACACATCATTATACTTGCTTTGGACTACAACTTTCATCGTATTAAAATATATCTATATTATTGTAAATAAAAATATGCACACGTTTCTGTTTTTTAACACAGATAACGTTTGTGTATAACAACTATATTCACAATAGAACTTGAATCGTTTAATTTAATATGTATTTATTATGGTCTCTCCTTTAGTTTAAGAGATAAAAGGGGATGATCATTTATATGATAGGACATCCTGCATATGTATGTGTATATATGTGTGTCGATAGTTTTTTCTGATGGTCACCCGAGGCGAACCCTGCACGGAGTACGGATGTCCGGGACGACCGCAGTACGAACCCTTCGTCCCTGCACCTCCAGGACACACCCCCAGCTGTGCGCCACCGGGGCAGACCTTCTGCGAAACCCTGGACCATTATCCTCGGTAAGTGCACTTAGACTCCCCTGAAATATCGCTATATCGGGTCGCGAACAGCGTAACGCAACAAGTGGAAATCCTCGGCGATCCGGTCGACCCATTTCGAATTGTTGATATTCCTTTCGCCATCCGTCGTGTCCACCTTCCGCCTCCCTCTATGCATACGAATGACAGACACGCGCGTGTTGAGAAAAATTTCTGGTGGGGAAAGTCCGCTAACTCTCCTCGTCCAAGCGAGAATCCGTTTCTCGAAAGCATCGAGTTTGTTCTATGTCAGTAGACTTGCATAACGAATTATGTCGAGGACTCTCTCGCCCATAAAAGACAGTTGTCATTCGATCTGTTTTATAAACGCGATCTAAACCAGAAGAACTATCCATCTATCGCGTGCTGGTAGAAGAATAAAATGTTGCCTCTCTTTGTCAGATATCTTCCTTTTCATTTTTGTGCCATATATACGATAGATAGTTTGTCAAGCAATTTTCCAAATTTTATAGGCATTTTCACGCTCGCCCGCGAGTCTTATTCCGAACGAGTTAAGAATTACGTAAAGTGAGCGGTTGCTATAATGTAAAAAAACGTCCGTGAGATCGTTGCTCAGCGTACCATGACCATGGCCTTGGCGCGGTCATACGCTGCTGGATAATTATTGGGCCCGTTACAATAGTCTCCCAAATCGAACACCGATATATTTCCTTATTTCTTCACCACTGAATAAATTATTCTTTGATATTGTGTATGACGAGCAGACGTCAAATATATATACAAATAATAGTCATACATGTATACTAATCGTGCACGTTTGAACAATTATACGGCTGAATAATGAAAACAATGCACAGAATAGAATTTTTAATAAAGTAGCAATACCAAATAGCAATATTTAATTTTAAAAAATGGGCTTGTTATTAAAGCTTATAAAATAATATTTGCATTCTAATATTCGCAAAATTACATTTTTACTGCTAATTATAATTAAACAAGATAACGCAATAAGGTTTTCATAAATTGCAACGCTTTATAACAAGTTAAGTAATTCTAGTAGCTGGAGAAAGTTTCGGCTATGACAGCTGTCACTTGCGATAATTATGTGTATACGAATGATTTGACAGTCAGAATGGAAACGTCAGAAATATCAAATTGTCGACTAACTCGAACTTATCGCACATGTCATATTATTTTACCGCAAACAAACATGCTGCATCTCTTCTCGCTATATACTTGCTTAATTTACTAAAATAGTTACGCAACATATACGCAATTGTAAACGCACCTGTGTAAATAAGTTTTTGTCAACTCTGGAAGACAAATCTTGGTCGCCTGACAGATAGAAAATGGTCAGTCCTTGATACGCGTGCAGCAAGACCTCGGTCCGCACAAAGGATCAAAGATCAGATTTAATCCCCGGGAGAAAACGCATTACACTTTTTTTATTAACGCATTGTATTCCATCTTCAGGAGGTATAACGGTTTTTTTTCTTTTCTTTTTTTTAGACAGCTCATCAAATTTCTCGTCGACAAATGCAGCTTTGATTTTAACACTGCGTTGCGAGACGAATCTCGCAACGACTTCAATTCTTACAGGTAATTTTAATATTATATTGAAATATCGTGAAATGTATATAAACGATAAAAAGAAACACACATGGAAAATTCGAATCAGATAAATATAAAGAACTTAGTAAAATCTCGCGAAATTTCTATTATTAAAATATATAATTATTCGTATTATAATCGATTATTTAATTTGATTATTATTAGTGTATTTAGTTTTATTATCATTTGCAAGTTCCACTCCGGATTATAGTCAAGGCTATGACTATCCACGACAGGATGATGTATATCGATTATACACGCAGCTAAAAGAACAGCCGGCTTCGATATACGGATCTCCGTCCAATAATAGTCGTTACAACGGGTAAGACATATTAATGTCAAATTATTTAATCGTCTCATCGACACAAAGTAGAATACTCAAATAATGGCACGAGCGAAATAAAACGACATTAACTCTAAATTCTTAGTTAGATTCTCAATCCATTATATTGCAGTTATAAATATTCTGCACCGCCGCAATCGCAGAGAAACCCTTTTCTTCCGGAAGTAACTCTGAAGTATCATCAAAATATCCCACGACAAATCGATTATAATTATCCGCAGGAATCCTTGTTTAGACCGAATCAATCATGGTTGACGAACAGGTAATTGCGATTGAAACGGTAAAACTCTCCTTCACGCTTGATATCTCGATAACACATTTTTCATTAAATAACAGATATTCACGAAGTGACAAAATAGCACCACGAACTTTTAACGTGAATCCTTTGTTGGGATATGCGAAACTTAAGGACGATCGTGTTAAAAGACAATCGAATCCAGATGCCATCGCTCTATGCCCTACACAAGCGCAGTATATCGCTCCCAAGGCCGCTCTAAATAATCAAGGCAACTGGATGTATGTTGTTAATTTTCCGGGGCAGAATAAGTACACGCAGTTGGTCAAAAGCGAAAAATGTTTGTAAGTTCACATCAAAGAATGATCGTAATGAATGGTCTAACGGTCATGAAATGTTGAAACCTTACGTGTTCATTTTAATTTTCAAGTGATATCTTAGTCCAGAAGAGATTAAATCTTCTAAGATTTACGATATAGATTTGAACGATATCTTTATGAATTCTTTATGAAGAACAAAATTATCGGGAGATACATTTCTTATTATTTTTTTTTTTTTTAGAAATAACGAATGCAACGGTATTTGTTCGATTCCGGAGGGATACAGAAGCAATTGTCAACAACAATTCGTGCAAAAGAGACTAATCGCGCTCGAGGGAAGCGGGAATCGACTTTACACCGACGTGTTCTGGTTTCCACACGGTTGCTCGTGCCAGATCATACCAAATTATTGAATATATGACAACAAACTGTGTCACATTTAATGAATAGGAATTATTTTCAAGGGTAAGCTATTAAACGCAGTTATATTATTCTCTTCATGATTATAATTTAACGCTCTGTAACGCAGAGTGCGCTTTACATCAGCGTTTAAGGTAGGTACCGATAATGTAGCGTTCTAGGAACGATGATGTGTACCAGAACAAGTCTCGACTCAATGTATATTACCAGCGGTGTTAAAGTAGAGACGAATGGGCATTGTCGACATACGTAGTTTACTTGTTGCAATAACAATTATAATATAGAGCAGATCGCGTAGGCGGCGTGAATTTAAATGTAAAGATGTTAATTTTGAAATGCGCAACATTTCAAATGCGTTTGTTAGCTAAAAATAGGTAAAAAATCCTTGTCAATGAGAGATGTCCCTATTATTCCATCTCTCTCTCTCTCTCTCATATGATATTCCATATCTGCCTACTCATTCAACTAAATATAAGACATGAAGACGGACCTTTTACTTTATTGACTGGACTATTAAAGATCAACCTTTTTTCCTTGTTTACTTTTCACGGTTCGCTCACAATTACTGCAAGAATAAGCCGTATAGAGTTTTGAACGAATGTCGTGAATGTCAGTAATTCTTAATTATAATTTTTAACTAATATTACCTTTAATGTATGTGTGTATGTATGCATGCGTGCGTGTATAAGAATTTAATTTAGGAAATATTTCGATAAATGCTTGAGCTATCACGATTAAGTTTATTTCTACAGTAGATAATTTTCTTTTTAATGAGATTGAAGAGAGACAGCGAGAAAACTTCTCGTATTGCATAATAAGACTTAAAGAAGGATTTTATGTATGCTATTTACATATAAATGAATGAGAAACAATTAAAAAAAAATCATTTATTGATTTAAATTACAATATTATAATATCATGTGAAAACTAACATGGCAAAAAAGAGTCGTTTCTGCCGTAAAATAATTTTGTGGAAAAACATGAAATTATTGTCATGTAAAAAAGATATCTATAAATCTTTGAAACAAATTATGATTTGAAATTACGTAAAATAGGCAATTGCTATCGGAGAGCTTATCTTACTGAATAATTTATCAGCTCTTTTACTAGCATAATGTTGCGTGAAGCACGACATCGTTGTTCTAATCGTGACACCTTATCAAGAAGGTGGCTATGCTGGATGTTCAAGGAATGCGGGAGGGATCGAGAAACATAAAATAAAGGATCTCGATTTCGTTATTACATCGGTTGAGAAAGGACGGACTAGCGCGAAAAGAGGGATGAAGACCGGGTAACGGCTTGAGGAGAGGGATAACGGGGGAGGAACTGGAGGTCAGACACGCGCAAGTTCCGCAGAAATGCTGCGGAGCAACACGACACCCTTTTCGCGCCATTTCTCAACGAATTTTGCGAGCCTGCAAAGTTTAACACATAATCTCAATACGTTATAAGTGTTAGAAATTTCACAACAAACGATTGCAATTCCATGTATATATAAATATTTTAAGTTGATCTGTCAAACAGTCAGAATGACAAGTCACGATACTTGCGTATATCTATATATATATATATATTTTTTTTTTATGGAGGTATGGACTATCGCACAAAGCAGTCGCTGAAACGCGCGTTTTACTTTATTGACTGGACTATTAAAGATCAACCTTTTTTCCTTGTTTACTTTTCACGGTTCGCTCACAATTACTGCAAGAATAAGCCGTATAGAGTTTTGAACGAATGTCGTGAATGTCAGTAATTCTTAATTATAATTTTTAACTAATATTACCTTTAATGTATGTGTGTATGTATGCATGCGTGCGTGTATAAGAATTTAATTTAGGAAATATTTCGATAAATGCTTGAGCTATCACGATTAAGTTTATTTCTACAGTAGATAATTTTCTTTTTAATGAGATTGAAGAGAGACAGCGAGAAAACTTCTCGTATTGCATAATAAGACTTAAAGAAGGATTTTATGTATGCTATTTACATATAAATGAATGAGAAACAATTAAAAAAAATCATTTATTGATTTAAATTACAATATTATAATATCATGTGAAAACTAACATGGCAAAAAAGAGTCGTTTCTGCCGTAAAATAATTTTGTGGAAAAACATGAAATTATTGTCATGTAAAAAAGATATCTATAAATCTTTGAAACAAATTATGATTTGAAATTACGTAAAATAGGCAATTGCTATCGGAGAGCTTATCTTACTGAATAATTTATCAGCTCTTTTACTAGCATAATGTTGCGTGAAGCACGACATCGTTGTTCTAATCGTGACACCTTATCAAGAAGGTGGCTATGCTGGATGTTCAAGGAATGCGGGAGGGATCGAGAAACATAAAATAAAGGATCTCGATTTCGTTATTACATCGGTTGAGAAAGGACGGACGAGCGCGAAAAGAGGGATGAAGGCCGGGTAACGGCTTGAGGAGAGGGATAACGGGGGAGGAACTGGAGGTCAGACACGCGCAAGTTCCGCAGAAATGCTGCGGAGCAACACGACACCCTTTTCGCGCCATTTCTCAACGAATTTTGCGAGCCTGCAAAGTTTAACACATAATCTCAATACGTTATAAGTGTTAGAAATTTCACAACAAACGATTGCAATTCCATGTATATATAAATATTTTAAGTTGATCTGTCAAACAGTCAGAATGACAAGTCACGATACTTGCGTATATCTATATATATATATATATTTTTTTTTATGGAGGTATGGACTATCGCACAAAGCAGTCGCTGAAACGCGCGTTTCTAAGAGAAAAAACATTTAACGCGTCCCGGATTTGTGTGCGAGCTCCCGCTATAGATTCCGTTCCGCTTGGAGAAACGCGCTCTCTCGCACGCACCCACAGCTCGTACCCGCTCGAGAGCCGCCCCGTATTCCCCTCAACATCCCTCCGTGTCCAGCGGAAAGAGGGGTGAATTCTAGGCGAACGTAAGTGCACCTACACGGTGCCTATACGCGTGCACTTGTACCTTACGCGTTTCCCTCCACTCGTGCGTGGCAGAAGTGTCTGTACACATGAGGTGGATGGTAGGCTACTTGAAGGGTTTCCGTTTATATGCACGCGTGTAAGCGTGTGCGAGTTGAACGACGGACGAAAGGGCTTTCCACAGAGAAGCGAGGTCGTCCTGCGATAGCGCGCATATCATATACGCGAGAAGAGCGAAGGATAATATATTAATTAAGAAAAGTTCTTAATTACAAAAAATATTTTTTAAGTAAGCGAAAAATTCTGTTTTAAAATCAAATCGGCCTAACTACGAAAGTATATTCGCATGTTTTTACAAAATAAAATAGAAGAATATCAAACGATATCGCGCGATAAAATTTACGCCGCAGTTGTTGCAGTTTGCTTCGCATCTGGAGCCTCCGCGAGATTAAATCGAGATTCCGAGTCGATTCACGGCGTCCAGATGTCATGTTTCAGGAAGAGGAAGCCTGACCACCTTTGATCTCTACCAGTCGCAAGATGACGAGCGAAGCACATGGACCACAAAACGAGAGTGGATTTATTTACAAAAATGAATCGGATACATAATCAAAGGCGTTATGTATATGCTATTAATCTTGGAAGATTTCGTTAACTTTCTGATTTATGCGCGACACAAGTCGAAACTGTACGCGTCTTGTATTAAATCCCGTCTGACCCATTTCCGCTTCCGTGCTATCCTATAAGCGTCGCGGTCAGATAGGTCAAGTTTGCGACGCGATCTCGCGATTCATCGTAAAATCTTACATAGCGATTGACACTATCAATCAACATTTTCGCTCAATCGATAGGCGCCATCGTCTACTCATTCGACGCAATAGTAAGTCGGTGAAAATACACCGCGTGAACGGAATCGGGTTTATCGTGTGTGAAAAAAAAAAAAAAAACTGCGTAAGGTCAACGCTGACGGCAAAGACTTTACCTATGATATTTTTTTTCCACGCAAACTTTTGTATAAAAAGCGACCTTGATTACATGGTAACAATTTTTTTTTTTTTTAATATGACGTAAGTCTCCATCCGTAGCGTTTAATGCACCGTGCACGCGAGTGTCCTGCGTCATCGAATACCATGACATTATTATTTATTGAAAGCGAACTAATACGGGTTACGTACGCGAGCAACCGCGCTTCAATGGCGTTCGAAAAATATATATATTTCGGTTATATCCCAGTAGAAAAATTTCGCAGATTCGAGACGGTGTGTGTGCGAATTTCTTTTTTTAGAAGAAGAGATGGCGGCTTTGTTTCCGTTTCCGCGACGAGATCGGGACCACGGCCGGAGGGTTCGAAACTTTTGTCCTCCTCGAGAAATCTCACCCCCGCAAGGGCAGAGAGTTTTACAGTAATCTCTGTGCCAAAAGTCGATTGCGCTCTCCGTCTCGCTCTGAACGTCCATCTCGTCTCTCCTTCCTCTTTTTTTCTCGCGCTACACCGAGCCGGTCGACCAGCAGCTTCGAGCGCCGGGATAAAGTCACGAGCAGTAATTATGAACGATAGCAGGGGAGAGAGAGGATATAATTGTGATTGATGGAGAGATGAGAAGGGAGGAGCAGGGGGTGACTTCCTTTTAATCTCGAAGCTAACCCTTTCGTTCATCCATTGCCGCTTCTGCCCGACCGACACCGCGCGACGCGACGACGCGATTTTATTACCTCGAGTTGTGTATATCTTCGCGGGAAAGAACTCGAATCTCTCATAGATTTACGTTCCGCTTTAAATTGAAACCGGAAACATATTAAATGTCACAGAATACATTTTGTTGAAAATCTTTATTTATTCTATTATTTTATTCTCGTTATTCATAGAAAACTCAAAATACAAATGTACATGTCTTATTTTTATAACGTCAGTTTAACTAGAAACACAGATTAATCTGTGAGTAGGAGGTTGAAAAATAAAATCTGGGAATTAAAAGCAAAATATGATAGATCCGAGAATGTTTAATAATAAATGCCGAGAGTTGAATTTAATATGACAATTATCACTGCTTTGTAACGAGAGGCGAAAATAATGACAGTTTAAACGGACGCTCTAAATC